ATAAAGCATGGATACTCTTAGCATAAAGCATGGATACTCTTAGCATAAAGCATGGATACTCTTAGCATAAAGCATGGATACTCTTAGCATAAAGCCAACAAGGCACAGAGTAGCAATATAACACAGTAAAATTTAACTGCTATGATTAGTATTACTATTAGTCAGATAATTACTAAGGAACCGATGTGGCCCAATGGCTAAGTGCTCAGCTGCTAACAGGCCTGAGTTCAAGCCTACCAGCCTCTCCTGGTTAAAAAGAGTCCCAGCAATCTGCAAACCATCAGATTTCAGCCTAGGAAACCCTTCGGGCACTGCGACTATCTCTCGGGGTCACTGTGAGTTGGAATTGACCTGATGAAACATAGTAACTCCAACAGTTAAATACCAGGCAGATAAAAATCCAAACCAAACTGGTAGGCATCAAGTCAATTCTGACTCATGACAACCCCGTGTGCTGCAAGGTAGAACTGCTCCATAGGGTTTTCTTGGTTGTAGTCTTCATGGAAACAGAGTACCAGGTCTCTCTTCCTCAGCAAAGCTTGGTGGGTTGGATCCACCACCTTTAAGATTGGTAGAAAAACACCAATGGTGCCACTCAGGGACCTTCAGAGGCACATGATGTGTGGTAAGTTTAAAATAATAATCAACCATTGGTTTATCAACACTCTTATTACACTCACAGATACTCCTTGAATAAAACGGCACCAGGTGATTATTTCACGAGGGTAGACACCCTCACGACTCACCAACGCTAGTGGCACCAGCATCCACACTGTTTTCCACCAACTCTTTCACAGCGGTGCTCAGACTCAGCACCACCTGCCCGGAACAAATCTGATGAACCGACTTCCGATCGATAGGTCTGATGGCCTTCGAAAGTTCTGTACTAAAAAAAAGCAGTAAGAAATAAACACATACACAATTATGTATTTTCACCACCAGTTTATCTGTGGGAAATGATTCACCTGCTAATGGTGATACCATCGTTAGGCGCTACCCAGTTGGTTCCGAACCATAGCGATCCCATGCACCACAGGGCATAACACTGCCTGGTTCCTCATGATCTCACAATTGGTGCTATGTTTGAGCTGTTAATGGTAACAGGTTTAGCTTACTCAGTTGTTATACTGACATACAATAGGGTTTTCAAAAATTTGTGGGAAATGTCCATTATCATTTAGTTCCATTTTCCCACTAACTCTTTGCAGCCCTGAACAATTATTTGCCATATTCCTGACTATAAACGTGTTCTACTATCTTTAAACATCTGTCAATAGACACATCAAATCCATGAGATAATTAACATCTCATTATACTGGGATACCCCTCCAACTTGGTAGTAGAGCAGTAGAACCTATTCTGTATGTTCATTCATCTAGCAATTTCTAGAAAGTGGCTTGACACCTCAGGCAGAATACAACACAAGAGGATGCTCTCTGGGGAGCAATCTATTTCCCACAACAACTAACACACAATGCAAATCAAATCCATTGCTGTTAAGTTGATTCTGACTCACAGTCACCCTTCAAAAACAGGATGTAACTGCCCCACTGGGTTTCCAAGGAGTGCCAGAGAAATAAACAAAACCTCCTCCTGGAAGGGCGGTCAGAACACAATGCTCCTTAGAGCAGTGGTTCTCAACTTTCCTCATGCCGCGGCCCTTTCCTACTGCTCCTCATGTGGTGGTGACCCCTGTGCAACGGGTCCTTCGACCCCCAGGTTGAGAACCGCTCTACCTGAGAAGCAAGCATGGCAAGACTTCTCTGGTACTTAGATGTGTTATCAGAAGCAACTAGCGAGAATGACATCATGCTGAAGTAGAGTTGGCAAAAAAGCGGAAGGTCTTTGAAGGGATGTGGATGGCCATGGTGGCTCCAGCAAGGGGCTCAAATGTGACGATGATCATGAGATGGCACAGGATGGGGCAGTGTTTCATTCTGTTGTACATGGGTCTCTGCACAGTGGTTGTTGAGTCTGAACAGCCAATCTTTCGCTTTACTACTCCACGAAGGCTCCCTGACCCACCGGAGAGCCCTAGTAAACCCTTCCAAATTGAAGGAACACAATTCTACCTTTCACTCTACCTTGCAAGGAATGTCATTAAGTTTCCCTTAGGGGAAATCTCAGATGACTTTATAAAAATGGAAACAAATATTTCTAAAAATGAATTTTGCTGGCAACACATTATTGGCTAAAGGTTTAGTTCTGATTTTTTTTCTTTGAGAAGTGGGCTAGAACATTGACATAGAGTGGATATAAAATTGGCTGTCACAGTGACCCTTTAAAACAGAATAGAACTGCTCCTTAGGGTTTCTCAGACTGCTCATCTTTACGGGAGTAGAAAGCCTCGGCTTTCTCCTGTGAGGTGGCTGGTGGTTTCCAACCGCTGGCTTTGAGGTTAGCAGCTTAACGTATAACCCACTTCACCAACCAGGGCTCCTTCCTGTGCGACCTGGGTACCCCAAGTCTTCCTGCCTCAGAAACTCACAGAGGCCGTTCTACCTATGCCACCGGGTCCCTATGAGTCAGAATTGACTCCCTGAGTTTGGTCTGAATTTTAGTAAGCAGAAAAATTGCACATTCAAAGAAATAGAGAAGTGATGGGTGTTTTGTTCTAAAAAATGGTGCCACTATGCAAATTCACGTGTGCCCTGAAGCAGAGCAAAAGCTAGCCTTAGAAAAAGAGGAGGTCAAGAAGGTAGACAGACAGACCAGGTTTAAAAATACATAAATCCACGTGTCTACATAAGCAATTGGGTCCAAAACGAACGACCATGACTATGATCCTTCTTAAAGGTCAGTTCCATGAACCAGGACGGTCAACCGAGGCTTTGAAGCAAAAGTGAACGTACACACGCCCCGGAACAACTTGTGTAGAAATTGTTAGTAATGGGAACTTACGTGGATGTGCATCTTCACCAAAAACACAATGAGGGGTTTTTAAAAATAAATTTAAAATAATTTAATTCGGCCGGCTTGGATTCACGATCACAGCTATGTACCTGGGGGCTGGCCGGACCCAGCGCCTCAGAGCGTCCATTCCGTGCCCGGGACCCGGACCGCCAGGTGCCAAATGCCCAGCGCGTCCGGCACTTCCTCCTCTTTTCCGGGGGCCCAGGACGCGCTGACCCTTAGTTACGGCGACCGGAGGGACACTAGCACCCCGCTCACCTGGACCCCTCAGCTGGCTCCATGAATCCAGAGCCCCACCAGCCTCCTGGACAGCCTCAGGGCTCCCGCCAACTCGGTTTCCGCAGGAGCCCGGCTCCCAGGTTGCCCATTGGCTCCCTCGACTCTCCGGTCCCGCCCCTTCCGCCCTGGGAGGCAAAGAACATCCGGTCTTTCCTTTCTGTTGATTGGATGTCTCAAAGTTGAGTCCGTGACTTCAGAAGGGTCCCGACCAATTAGAATTGCCGGACGGAGCTCTTCCCAACAGCCCGCAGTCCTTCGCGGCCTTGGCCGGTTTGAGCGTGTGCGTGTCCCCTTACCCTCCATCTTCCCTCCTCGGGGTCCCGCGATGCCGATGTACCAGGTAAAGCCCTATCACGGGGGCGGCGCACCGCTCCACGTGGAGCTGCCAACCTGCATGTACCGACTCCCTAACGTGCACGGCCGGAGCAGCTGCCCTGCGCCCGACGCGGCCCACGTGCAGGTAGGAGCCAACGGCGCGGCCTCTCCCAGCTCCACCCCGCCTAGTGCGCAGGCGCTCCGGCCCGGCGCCGCCCCCCAGCCCTCCGGGCGCCCACCCTGGGAGGGGGCTGTCGGGTCGCGACGTTCCTTCAGATCCTGACAGTCAGGCCCCGTCGGTCAGACCCTGATGTCCACTCCGATCCCGACGGTCAGGTCCTGGTGTTCACTCTTATCCTGACGATCAGGCCCCGTCACTCAGATCCCAGTGTTCATGCGGTTCTTGACGGTCAGATCCTGATGGTCAGACCCTGATGGACCAGTCTGGGAGGTCAGTTCCCACGAGGCTCAGAAAGGGCACGGTCGCCAACTAGCTTCCCAGGCCAGCTGGCCTCTGAGAGACCTAGCTAGCTTGTCCCCCCAAGCCAGTGATTTCTAGTGTCTTTTTCCAGTCAATGACAACTTACACTGTTTGACCATGAACTTTTCCTCAGCAAAAACGACTAAGACAAATGTTCATTCGAGTGAATTAATAAAGTGAACTTGAGTTTAACCATTAGGCAGCTCAAAACACCTAACATTGAGCATTCCTGAATCGCCCCACCCTTTACACTTACAAACAGCACCCCCAACCCCACCCAAAGGTCACCACTGTCATGATTTTTGTGGTAATTATGCCCTTGTTTTTCCACTATGAGTTTGCCACTGAAGTCTATCACTAAACATACAGCCTTTCTTGATTTTCAGTCTTATGGAAATGGAATCACACAGCATGTATTTGGTTATTTGGCTTTTCATTACATTTAGCAACCATATTACAGCCCCCACCCTTTTTCAACCCCTCATGCTCCATTGCATGACTACCCGACCACTTATGTGTTCTGCAACTTAGGTGGACAGTTATTTTCCATGTTATGCTGTTAATGAATAATTCTGCAGTGGATATGCTTGTACATGATTGGGGTGTATGTGCAGGCATAGGGTATATACTAAGGAATGAAATTGCTGCTGGCTCCCCGGGCAGGTCTATCTTTAACTCTTAGAGAAACTTTCTCCAAATGGCATATAGCGGGTTATGTTCTCACCAGTAAAAAACACCAGCTCCCTGTCACTGAACCCATTCTGACTCAGAGCAACCCCGTAGGGCAGAGTCGAACTGCCCCAGTGGGTTTCCGAGACTGTAACTCTTTATGGCAATGGAAAGCCTCTTCTGTCCCAGAGAGCAGCACTTGGTTTGGGGTTTCAACCTGCTGATTTTGCAGAGCGAGCAGCCTGATCTGTCACCCACAACCCCACTGAGAATTCCTGTTGCTTGCGATCTTCGCCAGAGCTGGTTGGTGTGTAGTGGTATCCTAAGGGGACGTTGTTACATTCCTCTCATCTAGATAAGCTGAGCCCTTTTATGTATTGGCCACGTTGATTGTCCCTTTTGTGAAGTACCTGCTCATGTCTTTGAGTCCCTTAGCAGATTCCCAGCTGGAGAGACCGCCTGCCCATTTATGACTGCAGCTTTATCACGAACTTTCACTTTCATTGGTCAGGTTTCCTGTGGAGTGTCATCCTTCTCCTTATCGGAATGGTTCTCTGCCTAGATTGGAAGGGAAGTGGTGAGGTTCTTTTGAAACCAAATGATGTAATTGTTGCTTCATCACAGAACACCAAAAAGCCAAGCTCGCTGCCATTGAGTCAATTGTGGCTCCTAGTGACCCTATAGGACAGGATAGAACTGCCCCTGTGGGTTTCCCACACTGAAAGCCTCTTCTTTCTCCCATGGAATGGCTGGTGGTTTTGAGCTGCTGATCGCATGGTTAGCAGAGAAAAACTGCTTATGGTAAACACTATCCAGTGGCTCTGCCACTGGTTTTGGAAATCGGAGGGGTCATTTTTGCCCCTGGTGGGCAGGGCCCCTCCTGCCATTTGTACAAAGACTGTGCACACAGAGCAGTGGTTGAGAAATTGGACAGGAGGACAATAGTTAAGGAACTTGAGTCTCCCTACCGGTCACCTATCTTACATTCACACTGATTTCTACTTAGCACCTAGTTACATCTTTGGCATACTGAACTCTTTATCTTCCTTTGTTCTACGCAACAGTCACCTGTTCTGCCTGGAAAATGATGTGAGTGGCTGGTTATCTGACCCCCCTGAACATTATTTGGTCTCGTATGTTAGTGTCAATTATTAAACTGGGTTCCTGTGGCTGCCACCTCCAACCCCGGCCTTTTCTGCTTTATTATTATTATTTTTAATCATTTTATTAGGATCTTATACAACTCTTACCACAATCCATAAATACATCAATTGTGTAAAGCACATTTATACATTCATTGCCCTCATCATTCTCAAAACATTTGCTCTCCACTTAAGCCCCTAGAATCAGCTCCTCATTTTTCCCCTCTCCCCCCACTCC